GACGTTTTTCTAATAGATTAAAACATTACCTAATACATCTATGAATATTCATTCTACGAATTTTATTTTACATAATACAAATCGTATATTTTCGTAGAATCGATTTTAATATTGGAAAAAAATTTTCGAAAATAAAATTTGAAGTACAAGCCAGAGAAATTTCATAAACATATCATTCAACTCTATTTTATTTTATTTTTTAAGAATTTTTTAGAGCCCTAGTCTATGAGATAGGTCTATATATTGAGGATAAAAAAATATAAAATAAATAAATATATATTAAAGAGTAGGGAACTGTATTCATAATTATAATTTTCAGTAAATATTCAAGGATTTTTTTTTCTAATCGAAAGAATTTGGTACACATTTTTAGATTACGAAGTTAAAGCTTAATATCCAAGTTGTTTCTTGCAGTGTGCGAAATTCATGCACACATCAAGGCGGAGAGACAAAAATTAAACTATGGGGCGTTGCCTTGTTAGGATGTGCGTTAAATTGTAAAACACGAGTGGGGGGTGGGGGGCGTGTGTGCGGTGGGAAGTTTTTCCGGGCGGGGGCCGAGGGTCTGGGGTCCTACCAAAGGACTGCGCCCAGCTGGCCAGTGTTATCCTGCCTGTCATGCTGTGGCCAGTTCTCGTTTATTTTGCGTATTAGACGCTGCTATTTTGTGCTTATTGTCGCCATGCCCCTCTGTATCTATCTCCCTCTCTGTCTGTTCCTATCCCTCTCTCTCTCTCTGTCTGGCATCCATGTCCTGCCGTGTCCTGTTATTTTTCGCTTGTTTGGTTTCTTCGGTGTGCCATTGTCAGCTCATTTGTAATTTTTGGCACAACGATTTCAAATTAAGCAACCGGAAATGAGCTGACATTTTGCATTCTGTTTCGCTCGCATTCGGTAGCTGGCAGCTTAACGGCACTTTTGCGATTATTCGTCAGGATCTGGATCCTGAATAGGGATCGGGATCCATAGGGGCCATCAGCGTTATCCTTTGCGTATACCAGGACACCAGGCACCCCCAGTTCTGCCTTTCAACTTGTCTTGTCTATTATGACAATATTAATATTTACATTTTACAGTTATTGTCTAGCCAGAGCATTTCCCACACAGTATATATGCATCATATATATAAATATATATATACCAATTCATGTTCACATGTATCCTTTCTGTTTTGTTTGCCACCACTACTGCTTGTCATGTTTGCTGCCTCGTATGCATTTGGTATTTTCTTGTTTATTGCTTTATGTTTCAACCGCTGCTGTTCTTCAGCTAGCTCCCCCATCCCATGGATATCTCCATGGATACTGCATCTTGTCAATATGGTTTCCATTCTGCATGTTGTGCATTAGTTCCGTTCGTTGTTGACCACTTTGGTCGCTGTCTCCTAGGGTTCACGCTTTAGTTTCTCCTTCTCAGGAATGCTGAATTTCAACGTAAGTCTATGCTTATTTAATGCGGAGTTGATTTTTAGGAAAATGCTTTTCAATAAATTTCCAGCTATTTTCGTTTTGAAACAAAATAAAATGGCATTTAAACAGCTTTTACATAATTGTTGAACAATTTTTATTTTTAAAACTAAATATATTGGAACTTTCTAGACGGTAAATAGGTAATTGGGTTGTTAATAGGAGCTCTGCAATTTAATAAATACTATATAAGTTAAGGAAAAGTAATTTAAGTAACTTAATATATTTTTTGTTAGTTCAGTTTTAATAAATTAAGGTATTTCTAGACGGTGAATAGATAAATGGATTGTGAATAGGAGCTCTGCCATTTAATACATATCACTTAAGCTTAAGAAAATTAATTAAAGTTACCTAATATATATTTTATTTTATTATGATAGGGTTAATTTTAGATTCAATATATTTTAGTATAAGTAGAACCAATTCTAAAAATGCGGAGTAAAATAAAATATAATGAAAGGTTCCTAGTAATGTTTTAAAGTAAAATGTCCTTTAGATTGGGATAACATTCCTCGGATAACATGCTCCAAACACAGTCTTTTAAGTTCTCTGTTAGGGTTAAAAAATCCCTTACAATCTCTGTTAAACGAAAACAACCCACTTTTCGAATTTGAAAGCTTTCATGTCAACAGGAAATTTAAAAAGGGTCTCTCTCCGCTCCGGGCTGTATCCTTTCCGTAGCTCTCTGTAAAATCCCCGGCCAAAACAAGGACTTCGGCTCGGGTTTCGTCAAGTGCCGAGGCCTCTTTTAGCCTCTTCTCTGGCTGCCAGGACACGATTACATCCGAATTCCTTCGATTCCAGCTTCTATTTAACAGCATCGGCATCGGGTCCTTCAGCAGCGGCTGCTGTTGTTGGGATTCCGATTCCGTCGAGGGCCGACAGCTTCCTGCCGCTGATGCTTCAGTTACGTTGATAATGTCAAATCGTTTGGTTCGCTCTGCTGTCGCCCCATTTCGCTGCCCCCGAGTACAACCACAACAAAGTTGCCAAATACGAGGGCCAACGAGGCAATAAATTTAAATAAAATCCCCATCACAACAAAGTTTAAACAACAGCCTAACAAGACATCAAAAAATAAAAAAAATATTTCGAGAATCGCAAAGGAAATAGCATCCCGGTGGACTAAACAAATGCCGGCTAAAAAAGTGTCAGAATTTGTGAAAATTAATATTTCACCAGAGATTTGAGTGTCCTGCCAAAACAAAGAAAAAAGCAGAACTGAAAACAGGACAAACTTTTCATTTTGCCAAAAGTTTATTTGTACGCGAAAATTATGAAAAATATGTGAGAAATGTGCAAAATCCACGAGAAAATACTCTACTAGGGAGCGAAGAGCATAGGTCAAGCCCTATCCTCCAGTGCGGGATATATTCTGGTCGGTCTTGAAATCCCCTGACATTGCGCTTTCAGTGAACCCAGTAAAACACCCGCCGCCCACCTAGTGCCATGTGTATGTGCGGAAGAAAGAGCAATGTGAGTGTGTGAGAAAAGCCGTGTAACGTGCTAAAATAAGTTAATTTATTGCCGGCACAACAACAATCACAACGCACACAAAGACAACAACTGCCGGCAGTCATAACATTTGCCTTGCTCACCAGTTACCCAAAGGTGAGTTACTTTCGGTTGAGAGTTCCGACTGGGTGATGATAATATCTATATCTGTATCTGTGTCTGTGATTTTACTTCGCAATTTTACTGGGGGCCCTAAAATAGAATATATTGCTTCAAGAATTTTTGCACATGCGGGAGGATTTTTCGAATAAAATAGTTTGTTTGTGTCTATCGATAGTCTCTGATTAAACTTAAAACAGCTATTTGCTTTGTGACAAGCAGCTTGGTAAACTAGCAGTAGAAATGAAAATAGTTAGTTGGTTTTCAAATTTCTGTATTAGAGCATTTTAAATCCTTTTACATGTACCAAAAATATTTACTCTTCAACCAATGTAAGTTTTCTTTACCAACTACTCATATATATGATTATTAGACTAACAAAGAAATGAGCATACAGACAATTTATTTGGATTTAAATATGTATAAAATGTGTTACAAAATAAATAAAATAAAAATCTTCATCTGTACACTTTTTGTCCTCATGATAAACTATAGGTAGGTTTTACGGCAGTGCGTACATCAATACAAATTTTACCCAAGTCCCCGATAATCCCTGAATTTTCTTTCTTTTTTACGTTTACATAGGAATGTGGATTTCAGTAGGATAGTAAGTAGAATGGAGAAGAAGTTTAACCTACTGAATTTATTTATTGTTTTTCAATTAAAAATCAAAAACGCATTCAAATGCTTATAAATAATAATTTAAAATGTTTAATAGTGAAGGACTTGGGCTAATATTTCATACTGTTGTATTCTGGATTAACGATTATTTAATTTACTTTGACGACCCATGTCATCTAATGTATGTTAAGATAGATAGATGCGTATGTAAGGTCATTAACCAGTAACAAAACATTTTTCTCTATGTTGCCTTAACATTTTTAAGCAAAGACTGTTAGTTAAAGTTAGTTTAAAAATCAAGCATAGTTTTCAATCTAAAGGATATATTGGCATTCAAAATAATTTCAGTAGCAGTAAAACTAACTTTGCACCTTTCCAAGACATTTTCGATTTATGTCAATGAAACGAAAGAATAAGCTTTAACTAAAAACAGAGGAAAGCCTTTTAAATATTTTCAAATTTATTATAAATATAATTTATCCAGAGGAGGCTCTGAGAAAAATAATGGAATGAAATAACATAATTAATTGAATAAATAACTACTTTATTTAAAAAAGCTTGCTTTCAGTGTAAATTAAATTTGTATACTATTATCTCTGGTTTCTATTAAAATATCTTTGATGGTTATGATCGCAAATACAAATACATGCCGGTCGGATTTAGACCATAAATCTGTGTGGTTTTCTGTTCAATATCCCAAACTCGTTTCATACCTGACTAATTCATTATTTTGTGAACCAAATATAATGGGGGTTTAATTAAAAAACTAATTTATGGTGAGAAGTGCCTCAATTTGTTTCCAGCTACGGCAGTTTTCAAACCAAAATATTTTGTTGGCTCTTTTCCGCGAAACGTTGTCAAAAAGTTGTTTCAATTGACCTGTCTTCGCTATTCAAGCGTGGCTAAAAAATACAACCGAATGGCTGAACAAAAACTGTCAGATCCATGACCTACATAAGTACGTCGTGTAACCAAATAGATTGGAAGGTTTTCACACGCATATTTTGTTTTTGCCGAGGTTTTTTTTTATTTCACCACCGCCCCCGCATTCCCATCGTATGCAAAACCAAAACAAGCAGCTTTCAGATTTTACCCATTTTTCCATTGTTTTTCTAGCCTCTCCAATGGCAACTTTTCCCTGTCCATTTCCTTTTTTCCGATTTTTTTGCGGGCTAGCTAACAAAAGTTCGAATGTTAAATGATTTTCATGGCGCAAACTTTGCCAACCCTGAAACTGGACCTCGGTCATTTGTTAGCCTGTCAGAAAAACAAAAAAAAAAAACAAAAAAATCCACAAATAACTCTGGCTGACGCGTGAATTTATTGCATTCACAAGTATGAAAAGTTCCATCAAAAGTGCAACAACAGGGTAACACAGGGTACTACTAGTACAGGGGTCCGAAACAGCCCCACTCCCAGCAATTTTGGCATTTGTTCGGCACATAGTAGAAGGGTGGGGCACAGGAGCCGTTGCATCCGCAGTTGCAGGTGCACTTCATGCAGGGCAGCAGGGGACCCACGGGTCCGCAGGTCAGGCGGTACGAGACCACGGCACAGGGCGGTGGGCCGCAGCATCCGCCGCATGATGCGCCGCAGGATCCTCCGCAGGATCCACTGCAGCATCCATTCCCACATCCACCTCCGGATCCACTTCCGCATCCAGATCCGCATCCACTTCCGCATCCACCTCCGCATCCACCTCCGCAGCCAGATCCGCAGTAACCTCCTCCGCCACAGGGTTTACAACTGGACACGCAGGGTCCACACGGCGTCCTGCATCTTGGCGCCGCACAACTCATCCCAGAAAATACTTAGTTCCTTGCCACCTGTTACTAAATACTTGCCGCTAAAAAAAGTGCTAAATACTCCGGGGCAATGATGGTTGACCGCTCACAGCTCCAGGCGCCTATTTAGCACCTTTTTTGTCCGCCAATAGTTGCAAAGCCACTTGGAAAATTTATCAATTGTTGTTGAATAAAAACTCTTGATGTTTCCTTGAGTATTTCTAAAAAAAAATGGCATGTAAGGCAAGGATTTGGGTATAGTTCCCTTACAATTTCTTTATTAATCATTCACTCTTGCTGTTGTTATTAATTAAATCTATCTGTTTTATTGTATGGGCTCACATTTTATTTAATCTATCTAAAACTATTTTAAGAAAGTCTCTAACTGCTAGCTCAACTCATTTAATACCCCACCTAATTTCCAGATAAACAATTACATTAGTCATGAAATTATATTTGTCTTGTGGTCACATTTTAAATCCCACATATGTCGGCTAAGAATAACCAAGCGGAACCTCCACCCTCTGGCGCATCTGTTCTCCTCCGAGTGCTATTTGCACAGTTGACCATGCGTGGGTTTGTCCATTAGATCCTCTCATCCGGACACGCCCCCTTTTCAGACCCTCTGGTCCGTCGGGGGCTAATGTAATTGATTGTCTCCGCCCGGTTGAATCGGAGGTGGAATGCAGTATCGTGGAGAGGAGCGACAAAAAGTTTCATCACGCTTCGTTATCCGCCGAATAGATATTTGCATGTCCAACTGTGCAGTTCAAAATGTCTAGTAGAATTAATTGAATTGTGGGATTATATCACTAAGAGGCTCACTTTGAAACTAGTAAATAGATTGGTTCAGTTAATAAAATATTAGGACATTTAGTTCTATTAAAGTACCATTACAAAATATAAATAATGGGTCACAGATATTAATCCTAAGTTTTTAGATAGTTTACAAAAACTAGGGATTTGTGAGATAAGGCAGAAAACTAACTTAAACTTGTTTTCAGAAAATCAATGTACAATTATTGTAATAATATTAATATCTCAAATCTAATAATATTCTTAGGGAATCATTGTGAAATTATTCCAAAAATATTCATCTTTAAGGTACTCTTAGTTAAGTTCAGTTATTTCCCACTTGCATTCCATGGTACCACCCATTTTCCGATTTCGATTTAGCCAGCTTCCTTTTTAGGCCAGATTTTCGAAGCGTAGGAAGCCCCGAGGGTGGCTTCGATGAGATTGTCAACAGCTGCCAGAGCGAAAAATCGCCTTTGGTCCCCCGTTCAGCCAGTCAACTTCAGTTCGTTTCCCACTTCGGTACCAAACACTCGATTTTGTGTCCGCTCCATCGGCAATTACTTACCCAAAAAAAAAACCGACAAAATATAGACAAAGGGGAGTAGAAATTTGAAAAACCCAAAGCAAGTCAAGATGTGTGGTGGCTGGGCCTGTTGTTCGTATAACCTCGCCTGTTGCAATCCGCGCCTGTCAACCCTGCGATTCACAGGGCGTTGCTTTGCACCCACGCCCTGCGGTCCAGGTGATGACTGCTCCGTCTATGGCTGCTGCGGCGGCTGCTGCGGCTGCTAGGTCAACTCCTGGAGTGGTCACAGAATCGAGTGGAGGGGTTCCACTTTCCCAAAGTAGGCCCTGAAAAATTCAGACTGTCAGCCAAAAAACAGACGCCAGTCAGTCCTTGTCCAATCGTTGTCGGAACAACATCTAACACCTAACAGTTCCAGCGGGGTAAGCTTTAATTTTATTTTAAAAAAGTATTTCCACTCCTTACTCCTGCTGTTATTGAAAGTTCTTCCAAATTACTAATGGTCACCATTCATATAACATTTAAATTAAAATTAAATATATATTTCGTTAATAGCTGGTATTAACTTGCAACAGCTTAAAGGAATACATAGTACTTAGTTTACACTTTAGTTTTAATTATAATACTATACCACATAGTTCCTCCTGTCATATCCTAACCATGTGCGGTGGCTGGGCCTGTGCCTCCTACGATCTGGCCTGCAACAATCCACCTCTGTCCACCGTGCGTTTCACCGGCCGAGACTTTATACCCACACCCTGCGGTCCCTGCGATAAGTGTTATGTCCTTGATACGAGCCGCAAGAAGAACACCAACAACTGCTACGTACCGCACATCCTGTCCCCGCTGGATGCCCAACTTTGTACACAGGATGGTAGTCAGAAAAAAAAGGAGACGAAGTAATGAGGGAATAGCTAAATCATAAGTGCTTATTTGCAATTCGAGATTATATCCCATTCGATAAGTGACGTTAAAAACAGCAGGACAAAATAGAATTGGAAAGATGGATTGAATAAAACATAAAAACTGGTCAAGATAACGATCAAGTTTTACTCGTTATGGGGATATGAAAAAAAAGTTAACATTTGAATAAAATACATTTTACATATATAACCCCCGGTGAATCCGCGCATGGATGGGATAGATCTTCCGCAGTTTTTGGTAGTTCATTTTCAATTAAATATTTGCTATAAAGCCGGCAAGGCTAGACTACAATTTTTTGTTTTCATTTTGCTATCAGTGTCTGAAAAATACTTCGAATTTCATTTTCCAATTTGCTAATTAATACACCTTTGCGAATTGGAATAACTGGTCAACTTTTACTCGGGTGCGATAAAAATTTTGTGCCCAGCCTTTGAGATGAGATTGCAAAACTTGATTATATAGTCAACCTAAGTAAGCATAATCAATTCCGCTTCCTGGATTATTTTTTTTTCAGAATAAATTCTGTACTTCCTCTTCCCAAATCTTAAGCCCGTTCACTTTTTGAGTACACTAATTTATTGCTTTGCTTTAACCTTACTACATAAGGTAGCAAGGCTCAAACCAAAAGAACAAAAAAATTCCACATCCTTCTGCGTTGCGTTTGCTGGACTCGACCGATCCCCAGGGTCTTCAGTAGAAGGGTCCGAAGCATCCCCACTCGCCGGCGCAACAGCACCTGTTTGGTGGACAAGTCCAGGGACCACAGGGCGGATTGGGGCCGCAGCAGCAGTTGTTGTAGTTCATGGCCGGCAAAGCGGGTCCAACGGGTCCGTAAGCCAAAGCGTAGGATACCGATCCACAGGCTCCTTGGCAACACATTTTCAGGGGGTTAACTACATGGGAAGTTAATATTAAAAAAAAAAACATTAAAATATATGCCCAACTCACAGTTCGGTTCTGTCCAAAAGATTCGCGTAAGAAAATATTTCCAATTTTATTTAAAACACGGAATTTTTTCGGACTTTTGGTTTATGTACTGGTGAAGGCGTACGAGCTGTTTACGAAACAAGTGACTAGACTGGAATGGACTGACTTCGGAAAGGGGAGCACGAGCCCAGGGAATTCCTTCTCAGGGCCCACTTGATGTGGAGAAATTTAAAATCAACCAGAAAGGCAGAAATAAAATCAAAGTGGGCTAGAGAAACTGCCTTAAAAATCGATCAAAGTCAAGTTGTTGTTGATGTTGCTCTCCTCCTGGCGAAGCTCACAAATTTCACACATCAATGATTTAACATTGGAGCGACAAATAAAAAAAAATTGAATTTCTCTAACGACAAAACAGCAGCGCAACAGATTCGCCCCTCTGGCAAAAATAAGAAATCATTGAAACATGTCTAAAAAAAGAAAAAAACGGAGAATAACACCAGCAAAATGTAGGAGATGGGTGAAGAGATGCCGAAAGGATTTTGCACAGGACCCGTTCTAAACTGGGGCAACGGCGATGTCGAGGCAGACACGAAAGTCTATTAGACTCAACGAAGCAGCCTTAACGTTATTTTCCAGCTTCCTTCGCTTTTTCGGGGGGTTAATGTAAGGGCATGTGTGTGCGGGACAGGATATAGGTTATATAGGATACAGGACCTCGTGTGCGTCTGCGGGCGTTGTGATTCACAAAAGCTGACAAGCTCATCGATCCCTGAACATTAGCTAAACATAAATTACACAGATGACTGCACAACAATTGAGGCGTTTATTATAATGTGTGTTCACACTTGAGGCTTTCAAAAGATGCACTCACAGCGTGAATGAAGCGACCTGGGCGAGAATGGATAGCAAAATGAAGGAAGGTTTAAATTTGCTTAAATGGAGTATTAAATCGATTACCAAATGGATTGAATTTTGGTTAACGGCAGTTGTTTTAGCTGCAGATTTGCTCAAGCCGAGGATTCACAACCGATAAAATATTTAGAGACTTAAAATATAGAATAAACATTATTTAATCTAATAGGTAATTATATAGATATTTATTTTAACTGGCCCTAACCCTAACAGTCCCTACTATTTATATTGACAATGAATCTTCTGCTGTTTGGCCTTCTATTTGGGCACATAATTTATTCATTCAACTTCTTTAAAAAGCCATTTACATCGATTTACCTAACAACCCGCTGTCGGAGAAAAAGAAAAACCACAGACCTCCCAGACAGTTGAAAACTATTGCGCAGCTTATTTCTATGTAGGTGCAAAAAAGGAAACCCAGCCTGGAGACTGCAATTGAGGTTCTCCACCTTTCCCCAGAACCGAACAACCCAACACCCCACTTAAGATAATCTCATTGGTAGCATGCCAAAAACTTAACCCCCCCTCACAAACCTTACCGCACAGCGTATAAAAATGTCACCACAAGGGAAAAAAAGGAAACACCAAGAAAAGAAAAACAGCAGGGTAAACAAGAGGGGCTTCAACTAAAAAGGTATTTCCTTTTAAATCAAATACAAAAATTTCTGCTGGGATTCCGATGCCACTGCCTCTTGGCCGCCCCGCTCCATTTTCTCTCTTTTTTTTTTGGTCCAAGTGGACACGATGGGCACTTCATTTCACTCCAAAAACATATTGAGCCGGGCCACTTGAGTGTGCGCCAAGAGATAAGCGCAATTATATGGCTTCCACTCCCTGAATCCGGACATAAATGGGGGACCGCAGAGACCTCGGGACTTCGGACCTCGGACATCGGACCTCGGACAACCGCCCAGAGTAAACTGTATAAATTAGGTAAAAAGAGAACTTAACGTTACTTATGTGACACGGCCTTCATTGAGACAAATGTGGGGTCTTTAAGTGCATGGTGTTTTTGCCTTTCGAGCGCTTTAAATTTGTTTCCCACGGATACATAGATACATGGATACGGGGTTACGGGGATACCGAAAAAGGTATACAAAAGATGATGTGAAATTCGCCTGAACTCTGGCATCTCTCATTTTGTCCCTGGTCAAGTGCTCGTTATGGGCAATTTCTGCTCAAACTGCTTTCTGGGTGCTTTTGTTTTACTTTCTTGTTTTTTGCTGACCGCATGCTGAGTGCGGCTCTTCTATTTTGTGTGGGCCTCCATCTGAAGTGCCTTTGTGGCCGATCTCAAAAGAGCCAACTTGTCAAGCATCGGTTTTCGGGGAAACGCTCACAAGTGACCATTGAAAAGTTTACACTACGAAGTTGTCAATATGTAGGAAATGTCCTTGAGTGCTGCTTATTACAAGTTGGCTGAAGTTTCTTTTTGGGAAACTCATCCCGCTTTGCGGGTAAGGAAATTAATATTATTGGATTTCCAAGAATGTGAAGTGGACTTTGTTTTCGACTTAGATGTTGAGATATAAATAGTACCAAAGTTTCAAAAAGATATGGAACAAAGGCTTTAAAAAAATGTATTTCATTATTTTAGAGCTCCAAAAAAAGAAGCACACCTTTGGCAAAGTCAAAAGTCAGTCTGATTTGACTGCTTTGCTAAACAAATCAAACCATTTTTGATCTTGTTGAAAATGATGTTCTGCAATATTTTTACCCACCTCGCATTACTCTAATGAATTTTGCTCTCTACGAGAACTGGTAATACTCTATGCTAGATTTGAGTACTTTGAAATCTATAAGTTTGATTATAATAATAAAAGTTATTGCAGTAAAATTTTTTTTTTAATATATTTTGATATTCTCCATTTTTAAATCTTTTAGTTAGATTATAACAGTAATGTAAATTAATGTTTTTATAAATTTTTGTTATTACCCATCCATTGAAAATGTATTATGTTGATATGTGAGATTTGAATACTTTAAAATCTTTTATTTCGATTATAAAGTAATGCAAATTAATATTTTTATATATTTTTGGTATAACTCAACCTATATAATTTTATTTTGCTGTTAAATGTTAGATTTAAATACTTCAAAATCTTTAAGCGATTATAGTAACAATTTCATAATAATATAAATAAACATTTTAAAAATTTAAATGTTTAATGAGAGGTTATATATGGATCAGATCATATAATAATAGTCAAATAAATGATATTAAATATTAAAAAAAAAAGTTTTTTCTTTATATAAACTAATTGTTAGTGTAGGGCATTTCAGTTCTCAGGCAGTCGAGTTTTTTTAGCTTTTCGCTTTCCATTTGAAGTACAAAATATTTTCGTTTATTTACCCAACTCCTCCTGCCCATCCGCCGGTCGTCTCTTTGGCACCGTTGTCGTCTGCAGGATTCTACCGCCGCCACTCCTTCGAACTGCTGCCTTTTGGTAAGTTCTACTTGGTCTGGGTCTGGGCCCCAGTATTCAGTGTTTTTTTGTGTGCTATGTGCTATTTCTTTTCTAAGCGCTTTGCCATGCGGCGTCAAACGTCGGGCGCCAATCCTCATGTGCGTGGGTGCGTATGAGTGATTCTTTTTCTTTGGGCTCCGAACCCATCTCCACCGCCACCCCCTCTTGGTTCATTCGGTTTTTCTTCGTTTTTCGTTTGGTAAATGCTGCGAAACATAAAACATCAAATGTAAATTGAAAGTCGTTCGTGTGTGAAACTGAATGTGTCATCAGTTGAAGCGTTTATCATTTTTTTTTTACTGCTTTTCGTATTCGTTTTTAGCTTCATCGACCCCTCGGCGAATTGGTGCGGGGAAAAAGAGGAGGGTTTTCTTAAAGAAGTTTAGATTTTATTTGCCGGCGTGTCAAGTTGCCTTTAAACGTTTTCCCGGCTAAGTTGTTTGCCTGCCGAGGAATGTGCGGAAAGTCCCAAGGGAGTGTAAAATCTTTTATTTCCGTCCCCAAGACACGGCATCGAATTTCCCATACTGCTAGATGAAAATATGAATATGAATGGAAGAAAGATATGTGAACTGACACGAATCGAGAAGTATTAAAATACACATTTACAATTGAGTTATTAAAGTTTGCTACTTTCGAGGCATTTTCAGAAATCACAAAGCATCCTTTAGTTCCATTCTTCAATTTTTTCTTTGTCTCTAAAATTGTTAACCGAAATATTTCGTTTATGCCCATTAGCAGTTTAAACGTTTAAATTGTGACCTCAATTCAACGTCATGCGATTTTAATAGCCCAACATTTCAGATTTAATCGCCTGATTTTCCAATTTATATGCATCAAGTATCAAGAGAGAAAACTAATTTGGCAAAATGCACCCTCAGAGAAAAACCATCCAAACAATGATGGCTCTTTTGGAAACGAGAGCCATTGTTGTTATTTATTTTTTGTTGTACGCTTGTCTGCTTATTTGCAAATTATTTGGAAATTAATTGAATACTACGAAACGTAGAACAATTTATTTGTAACTCGAACTTGGCCCCCATTCACTCACCATTTTTCGTATTTGCCATGCAAATGTCAAGCTCAAATAAAACAATGGATGGGAAAATGCTGGTGCAACAACGACAGCTGCCAACTGGAGCTGTGGTTGCCCTTAGTCAAGTTGTCGCCTTTTCCCCTTTTTGTTGTTACTGGGTTGGCTGGTGGCACTAACTTCATGTCAATCCTTTTGTGGCTTTGCCGGTCGTTTAATTTGAATTTAAAATGTTATCCCGCCAAATGCAATAGACACACAGCCCACAGCCCTCAGCCCCGCCCCCTGAAAACCCGGCACTCATTTTCCACTTATTTACAATTACCACATTTTATTATATCCCCCTTGCCAGCCAGCCAGCCAGCACTTAACCATTTTATTTATACCCCTGTTTATATTTGTCACACTTTTGTCTTTGTTTCAGCCACCCACTTTTTAACCCGCCATGGAAATGGACCGTTTTTAACTGCATTTCTGTGTGTGTCTGTCAAATCCCGCTGCCATCTTCTTTCCCAAACCCTCAAACCCCGAATCCCAAACCCTAAATCCCCTCCCCTCGCCAGACCTTGCAGATTTCGATTGTATTTTTGTTTATTTTGTTGCAATTTTAATTACTTTAATGAAAGTTTTAATTGCGAAATAGCAAAAACGCACCGAGCAACAGAGACAGCAAGTAAAAGGGAGCACACAAAGGCATGGAGGTGGGCCAAGGGGGGTCGTAATGAGTTTTTGCGGTCTAAGAAAGGTTGGCAGCTGCA